CATTCTCATTTACACAATTTCTCACATTTTGACTAATACTTGTTATTGCATTTTAAATGTAGCCTTTTTCAGCTTTCACTAATTAATGGCATGTTTTCTCTATTGGCTTTTGTAGGGGAAAAACCATATGATTTAATCTTGGCATCACTGATAAATAACTCTAGAGTGACAAATAAGTCTAGTCTTGAGATTAACATTCAAAAAAAGTTTTAAAAGTACCAAACTAATGTGTGTGATGTTTTCTTAAAATCTTCTGGGATATTACGACATTCTATATAGAAAAGAAACCCTTGAAGTAAAAAGAAAGAGGAAAAAAGAAAGTCTATTAATATATATTACAATTATAACCTTGTTATATGACTTGATATTATAACTATATAATTTTTTATTTTTATAAACTGTACTTAAAGATACAATTGTTGCACTTTTTCATTAATTAGCATTGTTTAAAAAAAAAAAAAAAAAGCCCGAAGTAAACTGGAAAATAATTAAGCGCATCCCTATCGGTCCACAATCTAGAACAATTAATCAACATAGGAATTAATTAAATGCCTTAACCTGTGAAAAAGAAAAAAAAAGCCACAAAAGTAAATAACTCAATTTAATTAGTCTAAGTTAAAATGAAATATTTGTCTGCAGTAAAAACATAGATTAAAAGTATAATAAATATATTTTTTAATAATTAATTTATATTAAAAATTATAAAAACTAATGTATATTTTAATATCATTGATACATGAATATTTTAATTGATTGGTTAATTAAATCAAAGTCAAAATTTATATTTTTAATAAAAATTAATTGTAAAAATATGTATTTATTACATCTTTATTCTATAACCTTAAGACAAAAGATAAAAGAATTCAAAAATAAAAGTACACAATAATACCACATGTATAAGACAAGCACTAAATGAAGACAAAGGTGTGATGGGGTTTCCTTAACCAGCTGGAAACAGTAGCAAGAATAATTGGTTCCTCATTCCAGCAGCTATAAAGGCAAAGTTACATTAGGTAGAGATTAAGGAGGACGTTGTAAGTAATGTTTGGCATCACGTGATCTTTTGATTATTTTGTTCCTAAAAGTCATGACTATATGTGTGTTATAGTATGCTAATGCAGAGCGCCTTATTTAGGTCAAATAATGCAACGATTCCACCCTTATATAATTAAGAATTATGGATATATTATTTTGTTCCAAAGTGTCACTTTCACTATGAATTCGATTTTCATGTACTTTTGGCAGGCAATTGTTATTTGATTAAACAAGATAATGCAACTCTAATTATATATTTGATTAAACAATATAATGCAGAGAAGGCGGCATAGAGTGTGGTTTGGTTTATATAAGAGGTTTTGTGTTATTTATAAGTATATTTTTTAAAAGTTTGAAAAATTGTTGAAAGAAAAATATTGGTTTTTAACAATTTAAATGCTAATAAGTAGGTTTTTAAGAGAAGTAGTAATACTTTTAATTAGAGATCTTTAATTTGTGTTTGTCACTGTCTTTCTTATAACTTTATAAAACTTGTTTATTACAATGCTCCAAATCAACATTGTTCTTCCAATAAATTTATTTTTAAACCTAGCTTATAGAATATGGACTGAAAAGTTGACAATGGGAACTTTAAAAGAATTATAAGTAATAATTCGCAATCAGACAAAGAAGAACATGACCCATTTTGTAGGACATATGTCTCTGTAAGATGTTGAAGAAGGAGAGTTACAAATCAATTTGAATTGGATTCAAAACCAAAAATGGACTTGTCACTTTTTTTTCCTTTTTCCTAACAGGTTATTCACATTACAAGTTTACAACTATATATACATATATTTAAATGATAGTAAATTAATATTAGTGTTAGAATTCAAAACTAGTACTAAAGTGTCACACCAATAAACTTTTATCCACGAACCAGGTTGGCGGACTTGTCTTTTCTTGTCTCTTATGTTCGTGTGGCATGATGTCTGTCCTTTGTACCTTTCGGTGCTTAAATTAGCTTCTCGATCTCACCCATGGCCAAAACTAAAAAGAGCTTCTCAAATGTCATCCCACTATGCCCTCTTCTTTGACCACCGCTTTGACTCTACTGCTCCATTCAACTTTCAACCTTAGCATCCAAATAGTATAATTTACTTATTACCAAAAAAAAAAAAAAAAATATAGTTGGCATTTTTTTTTTGAGGTGGCATTTTCATTTAATTTAAAAATAATAATTCTTTTTTTTTTCACCCACATCAGATTTCTTCTTCCCCTTTCATTTTCTCTCTCCTTTACCTTTCCTTTTCTCTTACCTCTGCAAACCTAGGCTCTGGGTTTTCTCAAACGACTGAGAAGCAAGTGATGATCGTCACCATCGACGACAGCAAGCCAAACCTTCTGCTACTACTATTGTCAGCCTTCTTCTTCTTCTCTCAAACCCATATCTAGGTTTGAGAGAATAAGAAAAAGGTCGACGGCAATAGTAGTAGAAGGACCCAAATTTGGGTTTTTCTCAAAACACATCTACAATCAAAGCAAAGCTCTCCTGAGCTAAAATCTCAAAATCCCATTCTTCAATATCCATTTCTTGTAAAATCAAAGAGTAAGAAAAATGTCCCAAAATTGTATAAATCAATCGGACATGGATTACAAATTTACATGAACTATATAGACCTAACAAACCTACATCCAAAATAAGAAATATTGCATTTCTAAGTCAAACTGGATTCTAATTTAGTTTCAAAATGGCACTAGCA